CGCCTCATCCCCGCTGTCCGCACTTGGGCTGTGGCCGCCGCTGCTGTAGCCATTGGCCTCGGCTTCCTCCGTCTTGTAGGGCTCACTGGAGCCTGCGGAGACCGGGACAGGGAAGATGAGTCAGTTCGCCCCACACCTCCCAGGGCGCTTTCCTTCCCCTCAGAACCTCTGCCGATCCTCGGTGGTCCTCTTGACTTGGCAGAGTCTCCCTTTGCCCCCAGAGAAGGACCCTCTCCAACAGGCTGCAGCCGGGACCCAGCCCAGCGCTGTGGCACAAGCAACACAGAGCTGCGATCGATCCCGGGGCAGATACAAACTTAATTAAACTCATTTTGTGTAATGTACAAACTAGTTAAAGGCCATTTAATTTATTTCGGTGTATATTACCCTCCAATTATACCAGGCACAGGGCCAGCCAATTACCGGGCATTTGAGTGGCTGGAATGCCATTGTCCTGGGATGGGGACCGACCAGCCCAGCGGCCAAATCAGCTGTCCTGGCGTGTTCCTACCTGAGCCGGCACTGGAGCCATCCCCAGCACTGCTCTTCCAGGCCAGTCCCTGCCCCACCTGGCCTGACCCAGAGGGCCCAGCCCTGCTCTTCCACCGGCACCGGGGCTTCCGAGACTGGAGAGAAAGCCTCTCTCCTGGGCAGCACTTGATGGTGGTCTCTGCTATCAGCCCACAGGTGGTTCTAACACCAGGAGGAGCCAGCGGCTTCCCAAGAGGGGTCAAGGCCTGCCGCTCAGGCTGGCACTGAGATACCGGGCTCAGGAGACATAAATTCACCCCAGCCAGGCTCGGGGTGGGTGTGGGTGTGGGGGGACTGGCTGCATCAAGGTTAGCCGCTGTGCTGGTCCCAAGCTGTCAGCCCTGGCAGGTGCAAGAGCTGCCCCCCACTTCCCAGCATCGCTGAGCTTGCTCCTTTCCCGCCAACAGCAATGGTGGGGTCCTTGGGTGTTGGGCTCCCAAAACACGTGAAAAGAGGAGGTTCCAAAAGCCCCACTGGAGCGCTGGAGGGGTGTGCTGTGGCTGAGCTTTGCTCTGTGTCTCAGCCCGCGTAAGAAGCCCAGTGCGGGTGTTGCCTGCGGTCCAGAGCGAGAGCACCCTACAAGGTGGCCCGGCGCTCAGGCACAGGGACCGGAAGTTGGTGGAGGCAGGGGCGGGAGGGGGCTCAAAAAGCAATCAGGAGCTGGTCGAATGCAATTCGCGATCAATGGCGGCCCCTAATAAGTGTAATAGGTTTTAATCGAGTAATTATCCGAATTTTGACCCTATAATTTAGATGTTCAGGGGGAGTTTGCAAGGTGCTTGAAAGAGATATGCATGCGCCGTAATGGGATATCGACCCGACCTGGGGCGCGGGCCGCCCCATTACCGGCCTCTTTCCGCCGCTAAGCACATTTCCCTTAACTGTAATCGAAGGGATTTAATTGTTTTTCCAGAGATAACCAGCGTTTTGTCACAATTAGTCCGATTTGTCCA